TCCAGTGTTTTTCTCAGGTTAAAACGATGGTGCCATGTTCCAGAATGTCTATAAGCCCAATGCTCAGTTACCATGCTGGAGTCTCCATTTACTCTCATCCTGGAAATCCCCTTCTCTTTCTTGTGTGGATTGCCTACTTTGTCTATCCTGTGTCTTTCTCTTCTTGGTTTATTCTTCGTTTTTGTGGAGGACATTCTCAGTAGTTTCCCAAGATAGGCTTAATTAGAAGTAAACTTTTGGGTACCTTATATGTATGAAAGTACCTCTGTTCTGTCCTCGTACTTGAATAATGGTGTATCTGAGTATTGAATTTTAAACTGGAAATTATTTTTCTTCAGAGTTTTGAAAGAATGGGTCTCATGCTTTCTTGCTTCTAGGGTTGCTCATAGGAAAATCCGTATCTGTTTTGATTCCTGGCCATCTCTAAGTATGTGACTTGTTTCTTCTCTTTCTGAAAGCTTAGGATATTTTTTTAGTACCTATTATTCTGAAATTTTACATGATGTCCTTGATGTGACTCGGTTTTTCTTTTGTGTTTTGGACATTCAAGAGGGCTCTTTTTATTCTGGAAGTGTGTATCCTTTACTTTTGGGAAATTTTCTTAAAGTATTTCATTGATTTTCCTCCCCTCCATATTTGCATTCTCTCTGCATAATTGTTATTGTATGTTGAACCTCCTGGACTGGTCCTCCAGTTACCTTACTTCTATTTTCCATCACTTGTTTCTTTTTACTCTATTTTCTGGGTGATTTCCTCAGCTTTATCTTCTCACTCTTGTATTGATGTTTTATTTCTGCCATCATGTTTTTAATTTCAAGCTCCTTGTTATTCTTTTAATGTTTCTTTTTAAATAGCAACTGCTTTTGTTTTGTGGATGCACTATAATCTCCTAACTCTTTGAGGATATTAATGGTATTTTCGCCTCTTTGGACAGTTTTGTTTTCCTATAAGGTGCTTTCTAATATATAATTTCTAATATAATTTTGTGTTTGTTATTCTCTCTTTTCTTTCTGATAGTCCTTAGTTGTCTGTTCATGATTTAGAACAAATAATCCCAAAGAGACCATGAAGTTGTGAGCATGTGGATGTTGTCCATGTGACAGGAGCTTTAATGTAGCATTCTCTCCATGGGTTATTAGCGACTGGCCAGATTTTCTCTAGAGTATTCCTGATCTCCTGCCTGAAGGAAAAGGTCTGCCTCCCAGCATTTTGGGGAGCCCAAAGTGAGAAGAGGGTTGGGACTCATTATCGGGGCGGGGGTTGGGGGGGTGTGACTTAACCTTCTGTTTCTGGTACTATACCTGTGCCTTCATTGGTGCTTAGCCCACTACCTCTCCAGAGGTTAAACCTTCAGTCTTCCACCCAGCTAGTGTGGAATGGGGAAGGGGATCCAGAGATCTGATTGTTTCTCAACATAAGGTTCACCCAGTTCTCTTTATTTTGATCCTTCTATTCCTACCCTCACTTCCAAAAGTACCCAGTGAATGCTAGTTCCTGGGGGTTTGGTTTGTTGGTTGGTTTCTTGAAGATTCTGCCGTGTAAATTGGGTTGGTTACAGCTTGACAGTTGCAGTCTTAGGAGTCAGCTTTCTCGGGTTTGCCAAGACAATCTCTTCTAGTCCATCTTGCTTCCACACTGTTGATGTTGGATCTTTTCCTTGTGGATTATATCTTTAAAATAATAAGTCACTTTTCTGTTGTTTTATTGAGTTTTGCAGTTGAGCAAGACTAGTTGTTTATGTTCAAACTGCCACCTTATGTGCACTCTCCCCCTTCCCCCCGCCTTTTTTTTTGGCTGTGTATTTCTTTAGCAAGTGTAGGCATAGAACGTAAAGGGTCATCCTGTTGCCTTTAAAACAGAGTTTTTCTTGAGCTGCCATCAGGACAAATATTATAAAAAATACCTGTTTTTAAAATATATTAACCCATACTTGTTTGTACTAAGTTTTCTATTGTTTTTTAATCTCCATATTGTTGCTTCACAGTATAAAAATACCACTGTATCTTAATCTCAGGAAACAAACTGAGGGTTGCTGGAGTGGTGGGGGGTGGGAGGGATGGGGTGGCTGGGTGATAGACATTGGGGAGGGTATGTGCTATGGTGAATTGTGTAAGATTGTTGAATCACAGACCTGTACCTCTGAAACAAATAATACATTTTATGTTTAAAAAAAAAGAAGATAGTAGGAAGGGAGAAGTGAAGGGGGGGAAATCAGAGGGGGAGATGAACCATGAGAGACGATGGACTCTGAGAAACAAACTGAGGGTTCTAGAGGGGAGGGGGTGGGAGGATGGGTTAGTCTGGTGATGGGGTATTAAAGAGGGCACATTCTGCATGGAGCACTGGGTGTTATACGCAAACAATGAATCATGGAACACTACTAATGTATGGTGATTAACATAACATAATAAAATTTTAAAAAATTAAAAAAAATACCACTGTAATGTGAGAGCTTGGATGATGGCAATTGATAAAACATCCCGTGAGGTGTCTTAACATTGGATTTCCAGAATCTAAAATCTTTCCTCTCTCAGCCATAATGTGTACTTGGTCTTGTAGCAGTGAATGAAACTCACTAAGAAATATTTGTTCTTTTATAGACTGGTGGTTCTCAGGCTGCGGCCAGTATGAGAAGCACTGGATGGCTTATTAAAAGAGATTTCTGGGCTCTAGCCCCCAGCGTTTCTGATTTAGGAGGTCTGGAATGGGGCCTGAGATTTTCATTTTCTAACAAGTGATACTAACGCTCGCGCTGCTGGTCTGGGGACCACACTTGGAAAATTACTGATACAGACAGTCGATTGCTGAAAAAACAAAAATGGTACCACCAGAATCCCCCAACAAAGCTTTACTTCATTGTTACTCTTCAAATCAGACCGTTGAGAGATGCTTCTCTTTGCCTGAGATACTAAACATGTAAACATCATAATTGTCTTTCAAGACAAGCGGGCCGGGCAGTTGGTCTCAACATTTTAATTAATGAGTCCTTTTCTTTGGTCCACTATGGATCTTTTCTTTCTTTCTGAACTACCTGTTGAAGGCTTTGTTCCTGTTCTACCCTTCTTCCCTCCCTCCTTTCTTTTGGTGCTGCCTGGTAAAGGAGTAACTCAGAGTCCCGCAGAAGTGGGCTGTCAGGATGTGCTCTCATGTGGAAACAGTCTGCATTGAGCTCAGGCATGAGAGGTCTGCCTTCTTGTGGTTGGCGGCATGTTGATAGCGCTTTGGGTGCAGGTGTCTGAACATGGAAGCTTACCACTGAGATTGTGCATATTCATATGTAAACACAAACATTAATGTCAGGGTTAAGTCTTTACTAGTCAGTAACTTGCATATGACTATACCAGGAAGCATACACTTTTTAGAATTTACTTGAAAACTTTGATTAATTTGGCAGGAGAGGTGTTTTCATTATTGCATCTAAGTGGTTCTCTTACTTAAGGTGAGGAGATTGGCAAAGAAAACTTGAGTTGAATCAAAGAAAACAGCCTTTTATCCAGTTACGTAACTAAATCTAACAGAAGCAAGAATAGTTTTAGGAAGGTAGGTTTGATAGTGTAGAAATGAGGGGAGAAGGTGTTAGCATACTCCATGAGGAGAGTTATAAATTCCCTTCTTACTTGCTTACTCCCATATCAGTGTGGCTGATGAGAAGCTTTGCAATTGTTTTACTGTTGGTTTTTAACTAACAGATATTTTTTCTTTCTTCACGTTGGTTAAATTATAGTACAAAGTGTGCTGTTTGACTTAAGTCAATTCTGAAATCTTTGCTCACATTTATATACTCTCCAGTCTTTAGATTATATTTAGGTACAAGCTTTGCTTGATTCTTTGATCCCAGGAAGACAGGGGTAATCCAAGGGGATATTTTTTCTGTTTTGTAGTAGTGTCCTTTTTTTTCTAAATGGAATGACTGTTTCAGGGCTATGTTTTTTAAAAATAAAAGGTACCTTCAGCAGAATTAGATAAATAATCTCTTGTAACTTAGAAAATGTCTTTAATATCTTTTCTCTTTAAAATTGCTTTTTATATGGTTAATAGTTCCCATAAAGATAACACTTTTCTGGCCAAATATCATGGGTTCTTGCATAATTAGGGAGTTTTCCAACATTGTCTTTTATGAACGATATAAATAGGAAGGCATAGACTGTTAGCTCCAGGAAGACAGGGACTTTGTTTTGTTCATGAATGTATTTCCAACACTAAGAACCGTGCTTGATACACAGTTCTCATATTTGTGGAATGAAGGAAAGAAATCCCGGAGCTTAAGAGTTCTGCATATATTGTATTACTTAATACCACAAGGTGGTGCTGTTGTACCATGAAATGCAAGGCTGTAATTCTTAGGCTGTCATATAGTTTTATGTAAATCCTATAGATAAGCAAAATGAATTGACTACCTAGTATGTTTATTGCCTCCTTCAGTTATTTATCGTTTTAACATGTGCTTAGTCTTTTGATTACATGATTAGGTCAGGCAGTGAGATCATAACCTAAATAAAGAACATTTGGTTCACATTTTTATCAAATGTGAAATGAGATAACATCTATAAAAACCTAGCACAGTACCAAGTTAGTCTCCTTTTCTCTCTTTTATTTTGTGTGATAAGCCTTTGTTAAATATTTACTTGTTTTAAAATAATTTGCCAGAATTTTTCTAATAAATCATCACTAAATGTTATATTTAAGTCTGTATTGATTTCCAGATTTTGAAAATTGATAGCAAACCTAGACTTTACTATATTCCCTCCCCCTGCCAAAAAAAAAAAATTTTTTTTTCTTTTGCTTCCATGATTCTTTTATGGGGTTAAAAGTAGTTTATTAACATATAGCTCTAATACATATTTGTGCCTATATCATAGTGTATAAATTAAACTATGATTTATCTTGTTTTCATTCCTTTTATGAAACTAAGTGTTGATAAGTTTGTTTTGTAGCTTGGGCTTTTTTATTTCCTTATGATTAAATTGCCTTTTGATGTTTTTTTCTGTAATTGTCCTCAGACTGAAATGAAATCAGAAGAGGGCCCTGGATGGACAATCTTACGTGATGATTTCATGATGGGAGCGTCCATGAAAGACTGGGACAAAGAAAGTGATGGTGCGGATAACAGTGAGCCAGGGTCTGGGAGCGACTCGAATACATAAGATTGTAGAGGAAACACAGCATACAATCATTCTATTTTTCCTAGAAAAATACTCTGTGCTTTCAAAGGTCTGTGGCTCTGAAGCTATCATTTGTAGAAAGCCAAAAGACTTTTACTATTACCAACTTTGGTGTTTTCTCTTTTCATGAAAACTTTGTTAAATTAGGTTTCTCAAACCTTGTATAATTTTAAGCATTGTTTTTCAGACATTTGTAAAAAGAAGTATTTCTGCTTAACCAGCGAGATGCACATTTTGCCTGGATCATTATAAGTTTACATATTGGTCATGGATATTGGTATTTTGTTTCAGTATCACCAGTTTCTAGAAGTGCAGTGCTTTTCATAATTAAAATGAACTCCTTGAAGTTAATATTTTTCAGCTTTCCAACTTACTGGTCCTATGTGTTTGTGCTTTTGTGAGGGGAATTATTGGTATTTGTTTTGGTGAGCTATTGAGAAACCTATGTAGTGAAATTTAAAATGATAGTATTTCTGATTCAGGGTGATAATTTCATTTTTAGAACTCCTGGTAAATAAGATTTAAGAAACACACCAAATCTCTACTTTTCTATTATGTCCTTTTATATACTAAAACATATATAAGTGTTACGTTATTTTTGTATGAGAAATTTACTGAGGTAGAAATTCTCATGTTTAACTTATGCAGTGAGGCATAATTTCTTAGAAAGCATATTTGACATGTTTTAGGCTCTCCCCTCCCCCAGCTTTTCCCTAATATTTGAGTTAGCTTAAATTCTCTTTTATGGTTTGACTGGCCAGTGAAGTGATAGAGTTAGACTGCAGGTAGTCTGCATCAGAATACTCCCATCTGTTTGTAGATTTGGTTCCTTATTGTTCCCTTAAAGATGATTAAATTGGGTGACTTAGTATCTAGATGTTAAACAAAAAGAAGTAAGACTGTTGAATATAATTCCAAAATTTCTTTGCGACTAGGTCTAAGATCTAAAGTTTATAAAGGAATTGTTTAATAAATGTGATCTGTTCCTTTTAAAAAAGGGATCCATTCCTTTTCCCATCTTTCCATAATAAAAATCATTCCCTTCTACTACTCATTTGCACATATTTGCATCCTCCCCTCAAGCTTATGCTGGAGCAGAGATGTTTATATTTTCAAACCCATTTGAGTGTTAACAAGTATTACATATCCAAGGTTAAATTAGTCCCTGGCCTGGTATTTGTTATCATAAAGGAAGATGCACACCTAAGATATCAAGTGATATATTTTTGTATTTATCCCAACTTTTGAACTTCAGTGTTTTATTAAATTATAGAACTACCATTTTGTCAGGGTAATATAAATAAATGTGAACAAATACTCCTTCAAATAATAAGAGTGCTAACTATCACGATATAACTTAACACAGGTGAATATTTTATTATAACTGAACATATACGTAATTTTGAAAAAGAAAATTCTTTGAGCAGTTATAAACTTTTTCTCCCCAGAATTAAAGATTATACTTCTTTTTTGCTCTTAATCTTATTCTGGATCATGTTAAAGCTTTGCAAAATTCTTCTGAATAGTACATTTGAATGACAGAAATGGGTAAATAACTTTTTATTTACTAAAATGTTTTTGAAACATAAACTCACATAGTTTTTGGTTTAATTTAGAAAAATTGGGCAAAATTTTTTAACTGAAAATAAGGAAGAGAACTTATGCAGATTTTCTTCTTTCAGAAATTATTTTATTCCAAAATAAAGACAAGTTGGTAGTATAAGAAAAAATTTTATCACTTATGTTAGAACACTATAAAGCATATTCAAAGTACATGAAATAATTTCTTTCATAAAAATGGGATGTTTTATATGTATTAGTATTGCTGCATCTTAGCTATACACTATGTAGGCAAAATACCATCACATATTAATATAAATTCAAGGATGAGCCTATTATTTTAGAAACTAAATATGTATCTTGAGATGAATGTTTTAAATATTCTAGCTCTGTCACCTCTACCCTAAGTATTTTACCTACAGCATTTAAATTCTTCTCACATCAATCAGATAAATCTGCATCTATTCTATCTTCCTACATTGTCTTTGAGTTAGGGAGAGACAAGAAAAAGAACCACATTTCTAGATCCTCCCTGCTTTATCTCAATATAACAATATTTGGTTTTTATTTTTGTTAACTAGAGTAATATAATAATAAAAAGGTTATTTTTATTTGTTTAGAAAGACTATGGGAAATGGTAACTAGTAATAGGTATTATCCTGTCCCCTTATCTGGATATTTAGGTGGCTGTGGTGAATGTTCTCAATATTTAGCATAGTTTAGTATTGGTTATTAGTTGTTTTTAGGCATTGAACTCTCAAAGTCAAAATTAATACCTGTTTTCGGCTGAAAACACTTAGAATCATCTTAGTAGTTTAGCACTTTAGTTTGGAGTCAGAGTACTGAATTTATTTTCAAATTACTTAGAATTCTACATAGATCAAGTATTATTCTACTCATTGAAAAGCATACCATGGAAGCCCTTTAGATGGAATGGTCTGAAGGCTCACCTTCAGTACTCAGAGCTGAAAATGACTCAGGAGGAGGTTCCGGAAGGTTTATTTGAGGGTAAGTCCCAAGTTCTTTAAAATATTTTGTATGTTTTACAAGGGAGTGAAAAGGGAATGTTTATATTCCGGGAAACCTCTTAGGGCTCTTGGTCATTGTGTTTTGCATCTATGAATAGACTTAATATTCAGTGGCCACCAACTATTCCTGCCTCCAGGACTGGTCTTCTGGCGGTGAGAATACAGTACTTCATTACAAAGCCATTTGATTACAGTCCATAGATGCCTAAAGATGTCCTACTTAAACATATAATAGCTGAGACTTCCCGAGTTCAAAGTGTGAACAGAAGCATAGACAAACTGAAGATGTAAATCGTGTTGCTAAGGAGTTAAAGAATTTGTAAGGCCTAAGAAAATTCCTGTAACGGAATCCCCAAAGGGTGTAAGTATTTCTATGGAAGAGAAAGGAGGAGGTCAAATAAATAAGGCAATACTTTGGCAAACTTTGGATAATTTTTTTTGCTCCCTATTTATCTTTACTTATTTTTTGTTATTTTTATCATAGATTTTAACCAATCTATGTGCTGAAAAGAGTCATAAGTGAAATGGGATGGAAGTTTTATTTCTTCAGGCTTTTTAATGACTTTAGAGTACCATTATTGTGTTTAGGATGTTGATGTGTTTGTGCAACATGAATTTCACTTTTAAAATAAACATCTGAGGGGCACCTGGGTGATGCATTTGGTGGAGTGTCTGACTCTTGGTTTTGGATCTTAGTGTTGTGAGATCGAGCCCCGTGTTGGGCTCCACGCTCAGTGCAGGGCCTGCTTGGGAGACTCTCCATTTCCCTCTCAAATAAATAAATCTCTAAAAAATAATAAAATAAACATTTAAAAAATTAGTAGATATATTTTTGGACCTTTGTAATTTCTTAAGAAAAGCATGTATGTGTCTGTGTCTACAATCTGTCTGCCTTAGCCTAGGTTGCTATACCAGAATATCATAGACTGGGTGGCTAAAACAACAAACTTTTCTCATAGTTCTGTAGGATGATAAGTCCCACCATTGAGGTGCCAGCAGATTTGATGTCTAGTGAGAGCCTTCTTTCTGGTTTGCAGACAGCTGACTTCTTGCTGTGTCTCCACTTGGGGTGGAGAGAGATCATCTTTCCTCAGTCTCTTTTATAAGGGCACTAATCCCGTTCATGAGGGCTACACCCTTGTGACCTAATTACCTTCCAAAGGGCTCCACTTGCAAATTCCATTACTTTGGGGATTAGGGCTTTAATGTATGAATTTGGGAAGACACATATTCAGTCTATAGCAGTGTGTAAAATAGCAGGTTGTACATTCTCAACTTAGATGTGACATAACTACCATCGTTTCTTTAATTAAAATTAGAAAGTGAAGTGAAGGAAGCAGAATTCATTCTGCTCTTTCCTTAAATTCATCTCTTAGGATTAATGTGCCGGTTGTGTCTGTTTGGTACATTAGTGATGGGTAAAGACTGTTAAGCCCTGCAGATATTTTCAGGGCAAGGAAACAGGGGTCTGAATTTGGGCCAGCTGGATAGCTGAATCTTAGCGACTATTGCAGCAAAGCTAGGCCTGGTGAACTTTTTCGCCAGGGGAACTTTTCTGAAACTTGACTAAATGTATTAGTCAAGAAGACCTGTGAACAGATTTGGAAGTAAGGTGGTCTTTGAAGTCCATGATAAGACATTTAGAACCGTGATTGACGTTTAACAAAATACTAAATTGTAATGAATCCAATCAGAAATTTATAGATGGAAGGTATCTTCTAATGCTTTTTAAATAATTTTAGATTTTCTAAAGAGTGCTTTCTAGCTTAGAGAACCACATGAATATTTTTCATCCAGGCTACTAAGCATAATTTCAGGGAGTTACAGTTTTAGGCTTTTTATCTAGATGTGTGATGAACCTTTTGTGCTCAGAAGAGGTATCCTCAGAGACAGTTACAGAACATGTTTTATTTTGTCAAGAATAACTAGTCCAGCACTGCTCACCTCTTCCCTCCTTTTCCCCCTCCCTCCAATTGCAGGGGTACATATTGAGCTTTCTGTTAAATGCTCTTTGTGAGCAGCGTTTACAACCAAGGATGTAAGCAAGGATGTGTGTTAAAGGAGTGAGCATAATTCCTTATAACTTCAGAGTCCAAGTCAGTACTGTCCAATAGGATTGTGTTGCTGGATACATTGTATCTCCACTGTCCAATATGGTTGCCCAAGTGGCTACCGAATATTTCAAATGTGGCTAGTGATACAAAGGAACAGAGTTTTAAATTTTACTTAATTTTATACTTTAAATTTTAAAAGCTACACGTGGCCAATGGTGGTCTATCTAACTGTGAAGAGAATAAAATTAGCGTATATTTAGTCTGATAATGTATCAGTAAACTTTGAAATCATGTCTGTGAGTTCTTGTGATAAACTTTTATGGATATAATTTAAGTATATACAAATACTGGTGTAATTTTATTGATTAAATCATTGTCGATTTCTCTTTTTTACTATTTGTATTTTGAAGAAGATACATTAAGTTGCTTTGTGATTACATTATTTCCTCAGGTAATTATGGTCCTTAAATGTGAGGCCAGAATAACAAATAGCATTTCATTTTTTTAGTGTAATCATCTGCAGCTGTCAGAATGAATACATCCAACTTTAAATCTTATTGATTCTCTAAAAACACAGATTTATGGTACGTGAACAAGGACACCTGGAGAACTGCCAGACCCACAGACACCAGACACCGTGTACGCTAGGAGGTTCCCTGAAGAAGTGCCTTCAGTCGCAGGCCTCTAGAGTTGTCCAACAGTTCCAGTCTATTCCAGCACACACTCGACATCCTGCCAGAGCAAATGTAGATTGCAGATTTGGGCAAAAAACCCCCAGAAAACAAAGAGCACAATGAGCATTATTAGCACAGCCAGTTTAAAATGATGAGGTGTTAACCACATTTGTATAAATAACAGTTTCTCTAACCCCTGAATCATTATCCTGCATTTAAATGCAATCGGTTCATAAACATCAAAGCAAGAACACCAAATTTGTATGGGGTCAGGACCAACTGGGGCTCTGAATGGAGAGACAGCTGAGAGCCGTGTCCTTAATGCGTGGGTGGCCTTGCAGCTGTTGATTCACCCTCAGGCTACTAGACAGTTGCCTTTTTGCGCTTGCAGAACCAGACTTCAATCTGAGGTAAAAATGTATCCCCTCCCATGGGATGGACATAAACAATAGATTGACATCAGCTCTCCAAACATCAGCAAGGCGCCCAGACACAGCAGTCACCCTGAAATACTGCGAATTACCAAGCGGAACATCAGGGTGTTTCTACATAATATTTGTCTTTGTACAATACACTGGGCTCTCTTAAATGTATTATAAATATGAAAGCCCATAGTTAAAAAAAGATTGAAGGTGATATTATCCTTCTCTATAAACACTAGGAATAACTAGATTGTGTGACCCACAACTGCCATATTTTGGTTCTTCCACGGACTCCCAAATACACTTGATGATAGGTGAAATTATGTATCACTAGCATATAAATCAGGCATAGGCATACACTTGTTCAAATAATAAAAATTTGAATAATATATCCACAATGTCTATCTAGCACAGTGCCTGCTGTGTAGTAGGGAGGGTCTCAAGAAATGTCCTCTGTTAGGCATTTGGAGGATCAGGCGCTGTGCATGTAGATTTATCATTCATTTCTGGTCTATGTAATTGTAAATGTTTCTCCCCACAAAAGTTTACAGTCTGCAGATAGTAGATACATATTGAGACTCAGTAACTTTACTTCTGGAAACGCTCCTCAGGAAAAGACCCTGATTACAAAAATGTTGTGTGAACGCTATTATAGCATTGTTTTCAATGGCAAGAAATTTTGGACAACCTACAACTTCAGTGATAAGAGAACATTTACATAAACTTCGGTACTTCTACTTTTCTGCTGCCATTTAGAAATGATGGCTGTGAAGACCAGTGAAAACACGTGTCAATAATGTTAACTTAAAAGGCAAGATTAAAACCATGGATAGGATAAGTTTTTTAAATGCCAAAAATTCATTAGATGAATATACGAATACATTATTAAAGAAGACAATTTTTGACAGTTTGCAAGACAAGTCTCACACTGAGTAAAAAGATCCTGACATTTAATGAGATATTAAAACATTTTTTGCCTAATTAGACTGTTACAGAACTCAAACTCTAAATACTGTCTTACCTAGGACACTCTAAGGGTTGATACGGAGAAGTGCAGAGGTAACTATATCAAGAGTCCTGTTTGCTAGAATCCTACTTTTTCTTTTTTTAAATTTTAACAGTTACCTTGCTTTGAACATTGAACATGAAAAATTTGATTCTTTCCCCCTTGTGTCACTTTGTGTCTCTTGATTAATAGAAATTTATTTTGAAATGAGTATCTCTATTTCCTTGATTTATTTTTAAAATGTTGCCTTTTCATGCTCAACCATCTTATTTTGATAGGTCCCATCCATCATTCAAGTTTAGGTTGAAACAGAACAAGTAATAATAACAACAAACATTTATACAGTAATTATTATATGCCAGATACTATTTGTTTTATAATGCCCTTAGCTCACACAGTCTTCCGATAACCCCATAGAGTACGTGCTGTTATTGTCCCCAGTAAACATTTGGGGGAACAGGTAGTAGATTCGATAACTTGCCAAGGTCACACAACTAATACATTCAGGTCCAAGCTTGAATCAACAGAGCTGCTATACACAATAGTAATTCCCTAACTTTAGGTGATATTAATGTCTTACAGAAAATGAGATTCTAAAAAAAAAAAAAAAAGAATGAGATTCTAGAAATTGAACTTTGCTCTGGAAAAATAAATGGACATGTTCTATTTTTCAGTTTCATTTACTTAGGACATAAACCTAGGGCCTGGGGAAGGTAGAGGGGACAACGTGTATTAAAAAGTGAAAACCTTCCTAGCAGTGGCAAGTTAGAGTTTCAAGTAGCATGTCTTCCCAGGCTTCATTTTGGTTGCCTCTGTCCGTTTATAATACCATGTACCGTTGGAGAGTTTATTTTAGGTCTTGAATATGTCTGGTAATTAAAATGTTTTAATTATCTGGGTTCTGCAGAAATGGAACTGTGTTACTACTGGAGTGGGATCCCATAGTTTTGTCTCTTAGAACACAACTCTGTTGCTCCTTTCATTACCAAGATACAATATATTGCCCATATGCTTCTGTTTATTATTTAATGACATTTTGATGATTCATAAAAATGTAAGTGCTGACATTTTTGCTATTAAGAATTTAGATATTTAAATTATGCTTTATACAGGAAGACTAGATTTTAGCTTTGAATATTATTGGCTAGGAGATAACTAGAACTATGGAAGTTCCATTGTTACTGATGTAGGATCTTTCCTGAAAAATGTATATTTTCAGTACATCCAATTATAGCTTTCATTTTCTTGTGCAGTAGTTTTTGTTATATAGTGCTTTTCCTCTGGAAATTAAACAACAAATCGATGGGAAATATTCTTGAGGTAACACTTGATTAGTTTTTAAAAAGATTTTTACAGCAAAACGATAATTGTATGATTGTTTAATAAGCTGTGATGAAAATAGAGAAAATTGAGCATGTTGGTTTTCTCCAAATAGGAAGTTGTGAGAAATACCACTGCTCTCCTCTAGGTGGCATGATTTAGGCTATCATTGAATTAGCTGAT